CCTCCATCGGTATAGGTGCGTGCACACTTGTGGCTACCGAGAAGCGCACGCTAAAAACTCGATTGCCTCCGCTCTGTTTACGTGGAACCAGATAACCGCGCAAGTGCATACATTTCGTTTTGTCCGATACTCGTGACAATAATAATCGATTTGCGAGCCTCGCGCGCGTGCCATTGCAAATTCATCGATGTCGAAAAGATAGATGAGGCACTTTTCACGAAATTTCAATGTAATCATTTCAAATTGGATTTGCAAGCGTTGCAGTAAAGTACAACTATTTGAATCATTTCCAATATTTCAATATTTGTTCAATCCGCCACGATGCACGTTATCTTGCTATTTATCAAGCTCGACTAAAAAGTGAGCGAGCGAGCCCTGGCAAAAAAAAAAGCTGCTGAATTCTCAAAGAGCTACAAAATCATGGTAAACGTTGTCGGGCCTTCCGTCTGGCCGCCTCGTCGAAAGAAAAAGAAAAAAAGAGAGGTTATTGCCGCGCGCATTTTTCTTTTTTGTCCCGAGGGGGCCCACGGATGAACAGAGCTCCAGCGGAGCGCATAATGCGAATCGACTTTAACGCCGCGACGACGACGATGACCGCGGAATGCTTAGCCTTAGCGCTAAGCGCGGCGCGAGTCAGTGAATTACTGCTGTGTTGTGACTGCGCGCTGCATAACGCCGTATACCTCACGCCGCATCGTTTATATAAAAAGCGACAGACGACAAGCACATTGTGCAGCAGCCGCGGGAGGAGTGCCAGGAGGGTAAGAACGAGAGCTGGAGTTGTCCTTGGCGCGCGCACGCTTTCCGTGTGTACGTCTTATATTCGTGTGCACGTGGGCTCAAACGCTTATCTTTAGGATTCTCTCGCGTGCTTGCGGTTGGACTGTGCCCTCGACAAATGGGCCGAAGCTTTTTCAAACATCTTTATACCAACACACTTTCTACCCAATTTTCAACGATTACAAAGACGAATCCCACTCGACTTAACTTTACCTGTCAACTTCCGCTTATTCGAGCGTCGTTGAAGAAAAAAAACATCTGAAAATTCTATTAATCGTTATACCACCCAATACCTCTTTCCCACCTTTTAACAGAAAAATAATTAGTAAACGTCAATCACCCAAAGCACGAATTATGTAAGACTAATGAAGCTCGCCCCCCCCCCCTCCCCCCGCCCCGAGGGTAAACAAAAGAAAAGGCCGATCACAAAAAACAAGAAACTAGCTTACAACCATTAGTCTGTCTCGTTACGAGTGCGAGGGCTCCTCGACTCGATTAATCGGTTTGACGCGGGATACGTTGGCATCCACCATATACGACTCGTGGCACCCACGAAAAAGTCAGCAATTATCGAAGGCGCCTCGACGCCTGCCGCCTCTTTCTCCATTGGACATTCGGGCTCGCGTACGCACCACTATAAACTAGCTGGCGCGCGAAAGTCGAGTGCCGTCTAATCCACTTTATGCATTTCGAACAACCGGACACTGTTCTACCGCCGTCGTTCCCACGCTTTTGATCCTCGCGCAGCGCTTTAATCATCGATCCGTTTAACCTCGCCGCGCGTAATTGCATCATATATCGATTACGATTACAATGACAATAGCAAAAGTTTTGCAATAATGCTCACATGCGACCACGATCACGTTCTATATAATAAACTGTTGAGTAGGCGTAGTTGATTTTTGCGAAAGTTTAAAAACGGAATTCCTCTTCCTTCCTCGAGTCAAATTAAGCCGAACGCTCGGTCGAACACAATGCCGTAGTTAGGTCAAGTGCCGGGGCGTTGAACCAACCAAATTAATCGGAGACTCTCTCTTTCTCTCTCTCTCTCTCTATCTCTCTCTTGGATTGCATTACATACGTGCAATCTCTCTATCGGGCCCAATTTATCCTAAGCTCGAGCGCGTGCCCGCACGGAACTCACGGTAATGACGAGCTACACATACCTGCACACAACAGCTCCGCGCCCTATCGACTCGTTATGATCGTCTATAAACGTGCTGTTCATTGTTCCCTCTCTCTCTCTCTCGCTCTTGCTCTCTGTATGTTGTACGTATCAACGTTCAGAGATCCTCGCGACGATAAACCGACAGACGTACGCCTCGCAACCGCAATTAGACGGCGGCGGCGACGGCGCGGCCGTGACTATTTACGGATTTTCTTTTAAAAGCGCGCCGACAGTTTCCTCGCCGCTTGCCGAAGGAAACACCGGCGTCGCCCTGCCTCAATGTTTTTTTACATCGCGCTTGGGCTTTCGCTGTTTATCCAACGAAGCCAGAGTGACGTCTTTGCCAAGAGGGGATCTGTGTCGAGCATTTTTTTTTCGACCGCGTTGGCTTTGGTACTCTTTCTTGCTGCCTGCTTACTATGTGATTTTTCAAATCAAAGCACGCCTCAGATTCCGCGTGAAAAGTCGGGACAGCAGAAATGTTATTTGGTCGAAGTCGAGTTTCGTTAGCCATCAGTGCACAGAACCGATAATAAGATTCGCGAACGAACTTGAACTTGAATGAAGATATCGACGATGCATCCGACACAATCCGCTTGGTGTTCCTAAGAGCTGTCCGAAAGTTCGCTGTATTGCAGGATATACGCAATTGGAAATAGTAGCGATAAAGGTTGCATCGCTAGCCGCGAGACAAATGGTCTTAGATTCATTGAAAGAGACACAGTGGCGAAACGTATCAATCAATGAAATTTAATACAACCGCGAGCATCCGTTGTCTGAACCTACATATAGCAATTACAGGGATTGCAAGTACGTGCATGCGCGCGTATGATGAACGGAGGGCCGTGGTAGTAACAAGCCTTTGACAAATTGGCAGGCCCGGCGTATTTGTAACGTCGCTCGTGTTTTCTCGAGAGCTAAAAGGCCGCGCGCGATGCATCTTACTTTTTGCGCGCGGCAGCCGGGCTAACGAGCCGAGTAGCGGACCGCTGCGGCGGCAGCGCGGAGAGTGGGTGGAAACAAATGCGACATCGCTTCCTTAGAAGGGCAAACGCTCACGGGGTATTTTAATCCGGTCTGCCGACGACGACGACGACGACGACGCCGCCACCGCCTGCGTGCGGTCTTCCCTTTCTCTCTCTCTCTCTCTCTCTCTCTCTCTCTCTCTCTCTCTCCCTCGCTCGCTCGCTCGCTTCTTTGCTTGCGCAAAACAAATGCGAGGCGCGTGTGTTTCGCTTCGCAAGGACTTTCTTACTCAGCGAACAATGCGCGCGCGCTTTCAAAGTGTAACGGCCTTCGCCGCAGCGCAAATAATCATTTGCATGGCTTTCGGTCGCGAGCTAATCGAACCGCTGCCGACGTTTTCGTTTGCGAAGATTTCGCCGAACGTAATGAGCTCGCGTCGGGCCTCGGCGTGTCCGACGAACTTACGTATACGTTACGACCGATCGACCGATCGGCCGTGCGGAGGAGAACGAGACAAAAGCGCCAATGACGCGAGGCGAGACGAGCGTCGCACTCGTGCCCACGCGGACGCGCGCGAGCCTTATTTTTGCAGTCACATCAGTCACACCACTCGTCAGACACAACACTCGAGAGCACGCGCACCATTCGCACGTTCGCGCGTTCAATTATCCGAGCGCTTTCGCGGAACCACGCAAGTTCAAGCTGCGCGATCTTTGGAGTGGCGCGCGCACGTTGCCGTTATCCGTGGGCGCGGCTGCGAGTCATTCCTTTTCCACTTTCCGATTGTTACGAGCGAAAGCCCGCAATGCGTTTCGCGTAAGCTGCGACAAGGTAATCGATCGTTTTCACGGCTTCGATTGCGAGCAATCGGAGCTTAACGGCATCGCAGCGCTCGTAATCTTTCGCGATTGCATAAATTCCATGGGCGAACAATGGAATGTAATCATCCAGTATTTGTCTTAATTGGACTTGCAATCAAGTTACAACCTTCTTAGTTTTAGTTCATGCAATTGCTTCATTAATGAAACTTGTCTCACTTTGGGCTACGTACAACGTCGCTGATCGTCAAATGCTTTTCCCCCACGCTCTTGAACACCTATTCGCCGAGCATTCGGTGCAAGTATAACTGTCGATTGATTAATCGATCGACGTATGGTGAGCATGACTGCGGAGTAAAGTTCATGACAGCATATATTTAGTTTTATTGCAGTGAATTGTTTCTTTGAGAAAATCTAGTTGAATTTAATAAATTTATCATTGTAGTTTTGAAAGCTAGTTATATTAAAAGACAGTTATATACTTACAAAATGCTTCTCATGGCTATAGGAAATCAAGACGAATACCTCTGCAACGTTCGAAATAAACATACTTCTTGAAGTAACAATAACAATAACAATAGATTCCATTTGATCCTATTGTTTAAAATTGATTTTTGGGGTTAACGTGAGACTCTTTTATTAATTTAATTGTCTTTTACGATACTAAATCAATGTGCAATCGACAATTTTCTACATACCACTGAATATTTCATTAAATATACATGTGTTACGCGTCCTTCAAATATTTGAATTGGTAGACTACAAGAGGAAATAAATTGGGCCATTTTGATGAGGTAAAGTGTGAAAAACGAAAAGAGCAGTACAATAGCAATGGTCGAATCACATGGTGTCTCATTGTCAAACAAGCTCGAACGTGTAGTATTTATGCAGCGATTGGCTTCCAGAACTCTTTGTTGCAACCTGTTTGCCTGTAGTCTGACGTAGGATTGCACCGAGTTGTGTCGACAGACTCGAAAAAGCCATAATAAATCATCCAACTGGATGACTTATACGAGGAGCGAGAAAGATTAGAATGAATAGAGTCGATGCAGCACGCGCGGCTTCTTCGACGATGAATGCATATCTACTAATCCGCGAGCCGCTGCAATTACCTTGCAGTTTATATCCCGCAGATAAATCTCGTGGCGCACTTGGCGCGCACTGCTAGACCCTATGCAACAGTCCGACGACCACTTCATTATTTGCAGCTCTAGCGTAAAAATATGCATCCAGCGTACCAATTGCAATCCGCTGTTCGTGTGTTGCAGGTCAATATGGGATGAGCAAGAGCCTAAAGAACGGCGGGCTGTTCCCGCCGCTGTTCAACGTGGCGGCGAAAGCCGAGATCCACGTGAACGCGACGTGCGGCGAGGATGGCCCGGAGACCTTTTGCAAGCCGGCGGAGTCGTTGCGCTGCGCGGTCTGCGATTCGCGCAGTCCTGATCCGAACAAGCGGCACAACATCAATCAAGCCCTCGACTCCAATCCCAGCAAGTGGTGGCAGAGTCCGACCCTCGCACGCGGCGACCAGTACGAATACGTCACCATCACCCTCGATCTCAAGCAGGTAAGCCTTCTTTTTTTATTCCTCTTCTTCTTCTTCTTCTTCTTCGTCATTCCACGCCCCGCGCGAGCTCTGAGTTATAGCTCGAGATCGTTTCTCATCGTAAATCTTACGCAACGACTACCGCATGGCCAACCGCTCCACTCCAAGTCTTTCCGGAAGTCCATGCAGCTTTCGTCCGGTTGACGGCGAAGTGTTTGCTTTCCTCGGCAGATTCGCCTCAGAATTTCGAACAAGAGAACTCAGCTTTCGAATTTCTACCATTGGATTGCAATCATTTCACCGGCGTGAAGACGAGAGTTTGGCTTGAAAATCGCTAATGAGCAATAAATCGACGAAAGAATTCTCCGAATCGCAGTTCCGCGGAAGTAAGAATGGAAGAGAGACTTGGATGAAATAAGCGCGTGGAGAGTGACAAAGTGTCGGTGCCGCAACACAACACGCAACTCGAAGGTCTTTGGTACACGCATTTGAAAGTCTCCCTTTTGGTCCTGCTCGCGAACAACCAACCAACAGCGGCGCCGCCTCCTTTATCTCGCTCATATATGTGTACAAAACCTCTAAAAATATAAAGCTCACTTGTTTGAAAATCCGGGCCACTCGTGAGCGCGCACGCTTCGTCTACGTCAACCCCCCTCCCCTCGCTCGCCCGGTCTTTCTCCTCGGGTTACGGTTACCTGTGCGCACACAAGCGCCCACTTCGCGCGTGTATTTCTCTCCTTCTGCTCGCATGTTACGCGCCATCGTTCGAGATCAAGCCCTTTCGCGCGCATGTAAGCCGCGTGCGCGCCTTTTTCACTTAAGCTCCTCGGGAGGGTAGGGCTGTGCGGAGGGAAAAAAAGAAACGTCGAGATTGAGTCGGAGGGAACGCGGTGACGGCGCAAAAGAACAGAGAGAGAGAGAGAGCGTGTACGTATGTAGATTTGATGGCTTGGTTTTGCCGCAGCGGTCTACGACCTCTTTTTTCTTTCTCCTCTTCAAGATGCAAGCGTTTATTAGGAAGGAAAATAAGTACTGCCGAGCGAACGAGAGGCACCGAAAAAAGAAAAAAGAAAAGAAAAGAAAGAAAGAAAGAAAATTTCTCCACGAGTGGGGTATTCAAAGACGTGCTGCTCTTGTTTGTTATTCCAAGGCAAATGTTAATTCGATTGCTCCTCTCCGCTGCGTTCAACGGCCGCGTTCGATTGTTTTTTCCAGGGGTACAATTTTCGGAGCGGACGTATTTACTTATTTTCATTGTAAACCACTCTCCTTTGCGGCGAGATTCTTTCGGATGATCGTGTTATATAGAGAATTCATTAGCCTCTGCACGAGGGTGAAAACAGTTGCGCGAGCATCGAATAAGGGCGAGTTATCGTTTTAATACAGTTGTCGTCGTGAATAGCTCTTTGAAATTCGGCCAAAATTATGAACATATCGCGTGACGCGTGCCTTCTTCATTGATCGCGGATCGTCATCAAGCGACCGCGCTGTGAAATCGCTTGCTATTATATTTGAGCGGGAGAAAAAAAAATTCGACACGGTCTCAGTTCTCCCCGAGATCTTTCTCCCGCAGTGCGAGCGAGAGAGCGGAAAAAGAAGAAGAGAGAGGGAGAGAGAAAAAAATCGTAAATTTCTCCGGTTTCCTTTCGTTAGGCCAATCCGGCGCATTGTAGGCTCTTCTCCCTTCCGATTTATGTGTCTTTCGTGTAGTCGCGCATCTTGTCCGACGAGGTCCGACAAAGCGAGACTCTGACGCGCTACAAAGAAGAGAGAGAGAGAGAGAAAAGAGCTCCTCTCCACGGGGAAAAGAAGAATAGCAGCTCGCGCGCGATAAACCGAAAGCGCGATGAAGATAGAGCGAGAGAATGTCTAAAAATAATTGACGGCAACTGGTGAAAAAAGAGAAATGCGCGCGTGGGCACGAGATATTGGAAAATGCCGTAAGCTTTACGATGCAATTTAACTTGGTATTATGACAGCTTGCGTGAGACATCTTTCGCATCGTGCCGACGGGGCTTTCGTCCCGTGGCCTTTCGTTATTGAATTCTCTTTGTTCGAATCGTCTATGCAAATGTCTGCGCGATACAAGCGAAGGGCGCGCGCTGCAAACAAATCATAGCCGCGCCTGCGCGCAAAGTTCTGTTTCTCGGATATTCACCGACGAAATTTCAAACTAACGCCTGTTCGAGCAAGACTAGCATCTTTCGCTTTGTTTTACAAGTCGATGCTCCCGACCGCTTGGTTTTTCCTCGGTAGCGATATCTGGAGAGACATCTGAACAATTCATCGACGCATCGGAGGAGCTTCAAGGCACTCTCAAATTCTCAAATCATGCGCTATCGCAAACGACAATCAAACGAGGCCGTAGTGTGAATCGATAAAACAGACGGACAGCGGCCGGCCAAGCGCCGATTCCCGTCAGCTTTCGGATCTAGGAAAGGCTGAAAGAAACGTGCAGCCAAGACACACGAAGTAAACGAATCTTACCGAGCGGAGCGAGGCGGAAAGACCAGTCGAATTCTCGGAATCCGTCGTGTCGACGACGTACGTCGCTTCTACCTGGGCCTCGCGCCGACAAATTGCGCGCAGGGCCCCAAACCGCTTTAACGAGACGAGGTAATGACGGTGTGTTGCCTATACGAGTGGGCGCGACGAAAGATGCCGAGAGGCACGGGTGAGAAAAACTCGGATGCGTCTCTCTGCTTTGAGGAAACGAGAAAAGGTAGAAACGCCGCCGTACGAGAATGAATTTAAAAGAAAAATCCCGTAGTTGTGAATGGGCCTGAGACACCTGTGAAGCCGATTCTCTGCGTGTTTCGAGTGTTTAGAGCCACCTTCTGTGAATGAGATCGATCCAGAGGCGTGTTTTATTTATCGAACCTATTATGTCGAGGAATTTCATCAGATTATGGTTTTCTTCGATTATTCATTGTGACAGCAGTGACATATTTATTTCGAATTAATTTTGGACCATTCACCCAATTAGATGCTCAATTTATTATTTCATGAAAATCGCATTAATGCAAATAATATTTACGCTTATTTTTACGTGTCATTCAAACTTTAAATAGTTTTTGAATAATATCTCAAATTATTATAAAATCAAAATTACCATGTCATTGTGGTTCCATCATTAAAATAATATATTAATGTACAAATTATAAGTATGCAAGCAAATTTATTCCTAGTTTCGTAAACCGGAAAATCCATCAAATCATTCGTGGACAATCTACATCATTTTGAATAACGTTGTCTAGAAATTGGAAAGCTGCGTCTTAATAAATTTTTCGTAACCTTCTCTGCAGGAAGTCTCCATTCACACAATCTTTATTCGTAAAATTTTTTCTATCGACCCTTTTTAAGAATTATGACTTTGCGCCTTTTAGTTTCTGTTCATTAATTTCACAAAATATACATCAAATGACGGCTTGTTATGCTCAAACATATTTTAAAACCAAGCATTATCTACAAACGAAAAAAAAATGTTGAAACATTTCGTTTGTAAAACATGTTTACATGTTAACGTGTACTATTTGTTTCTTACTCTACTTTGAATAAAACAAAATTTGAAGGACTATTATAAAATCGAAAAATTGATCATATAACATGCTATTCTTTTGTTTTACATTATTTCTGCAAGTGTATGTATTCGCTACAACTTAACGAACACTAAAATAAAAGTACGAGTGTCATAAATTCAATGGCTTTGACGCCTCACAGCTATTTACAAGGAAAAAATTTTAAAACTCAGTAGATTTTTACGAGTCACATTATAACTATTTCGGATACTACAATCACAGATTTCAAATGAAACATCTTTACACTAAAATCTTGTACGACCTGATATTTATGAATCGTAAAAAGAATCACCGTTTAACTTACGAGCGCATAATATGTAATATGTTACGTACACTTGGTACAGATAACAAAGGATATAGTAGCTGCTGTAGATATTCTAATATTATAAAAATATATATAAAAAGAAAAAAAATAAGAAATCGAAAGTGATTATGAGAAAATTTAAAATAATCGTTACAATTTTGTAAATAAACACAAGAAAGGCAATTTTTAAAACTAAAATACAACAATTTTAAACATATCTTCAGTATCAGATTTTATCTAGCACTGCTAAACACTCGATTAGATATATTAAAAATAAGTACTGGACGATCAATACCACAATCCAGTAATATAGTACTTTCTGATAGTCGTAGTCTTGGATATAATCATTACATGTACTTTGGAGTCTGGCTAGAAAAATGTTAGCGTAATAACGGACCAGAATCTGTTAAGATCACTCATGTTGTTTCCTGTCAATTTAACGCTGAAAATTACTTTAATTTCATCTAAATTTGCTACAGCAACAACAGACAACATATTTGGCCGCACAGTAATATTACAATGTAATAGTCAGCTTCTAATCTGATAGAATTGTTTAATGGTAAATTTTGGTGGAATTACTATGGAATCTTGAAAATATTGATTAGAATGTTATAAAGCGACTATTATTTGTTATTCAATTTTTTGATACATCTCAAAATAGTCTTGATCGCCGAATATGTATTTATATGTTGAAAAATCAAATTTGCTTTTGAACTTATAAGTGACAAAGAAAAATAACAGCTGTAATAATGTAAATTCACAGCGTATTATTGACTTACAAACGTGTGAACGCTCGACTGACTGGAGCATGCATTAGACAAAAAAGCTTATGTAAACTCATCTTGTTGAATGTGCTTATATTATATTAGTGTAACGCTTACACAATTACATAGGTGATGATTCAAAATCGTCAAAGCGCCTCTCGAAATTTCCTGACTGCTTGTGTATTCTGGAAATCTGCTCTCTGGAGCGTGACGAGAGAATCCAGATAGTGAACATGATAGTCAGATTCATGCACAATTATGATACCTCGTATGTTTTGCTGACTTTTTGATCCGATACTTTATGACGCAATTTAATTCTTGCGTATGTTTTTTAAAGATAAACAGCTCTGGTCACACACTTTCAGCATTTGTTCT